TTTTAAAATTTATGGTAAATTTTGCCTTTTGCACATAAAATCAAACATAAGTATATTATCGGTGTTGGTTCTACAAGGTTCATAGTTGTCCTTATATGTGGAAAATTTTTTTTGTCCTGAATTAAAGATTTTGGTCCTGATTTTCCTAATTTTTGTGTGTGCCCAGAAGATGATGTTTCTAACAGATATGAATGCAAATTTTAAATTATAAAGAACTGAAAGTTTTGATTTTTGATCCATCATCTTTTTATTTTAATTAATAATGCTTGTAAAATTTGCAAAATTCGATAATTGAAACTTAGGGACGATCCATTAATTATATGAGTTATGGGATCATCCACTAAATTACTTTTGTTCAAAAATATTAAATGGCGTAATTACTGTGTTTTTATTTCAAAATTATTTAAAACTCTACTGAAAAATTATTTGATTAAGGAAATCTTGAACTCTATTGCAAATTTTAATTTAATATTTATTTGAGGGAATATTAACCAAAGGGTACTATTTTTAGAGCAACAATAATACTGTAACATTCCTTTATGAATATTATGTGGTTGGTTCTCATGAATAACTATCACTTATATGGACACAACACTTTTTATTATTAACATGTATAAAAGTACTATGAAATAAATGGTAAGTTAGTGACATGATTTTATCTGACTTCGCAAGTCAGTTCCGAGAACGCTTCTCCTATTTTAATTAATTACTTTTTGGTGGTGAGTGTGCGAAGCGCCCTCTGGCGAAGATGTCCGCACACTACACCCCCCACGCAAGATTGAAGTATCTCCCTTGATACTTAATCTGACAAAACATATAAATTGATAATAAACAAACATATCATAAATATATAAACTAAAATGACAATTAACATTCATCACTAATATTAATGAACTAGGAGGCTCCGCCCCCTGCTCGCCAACCCCCAAGAATTGCTATGCAATCCCATGTGGTTCACGCCGTGAACCATGGCTCGCTGCGCGCGCTTGCCAATGAGCACAATGTTCTAGCACAAAGACATAGTATATTATCATCAAAGACATAGTATTTTATCATCAAAGACATAGTATTGTACTTATGTAGAAGAATTCTATCAATGTTCTTATTGGCTTTTAAAAAAGTATATTAGCTATTTAGATTGTACATGGTGAAAAAATCAAAACATTAGCTAAATAAGAAACATATTAGCAAAATAAATTATCAAATATTGCTTCACTAATATTCTGCATTTTAAAGCG